GACCGTCACATTATAACGCCCCCACGGCTGAAAAGGCGAGCATGTTTGGAGGGACGGGGATTCGAACTCGTGACCCGCAGAGCGCCCTAACCACCCGAGCTAGAAGCCCATTGACAATCAGTTAATCAGACATGAAGAGTTATAAGAAAATGTTTGTTAATGGTACGGATTGAAGGTTGTTGCCCTGCTCTGTGACAATAATTTCGAGGTCATTCAATACCCTCGGAACTTTTATTAATGTGCACCATACACCATAAATGGTAATTACAAAGATATAGACAATAACAAATGGAACACTTGTAATAAAAAAAATCACCCAAATTGTCCCACCACAACAACACTTATAGGCGTAGATACCGATAAGGTAAAATTTCTAATAGTATTATAAAATGGCAGAAAACAATCAATAGTTGTATTCAAAGCGCTGCCAAATTTTGGTAAATGCCAATGTGCTGGCTTCATTGTCAATAGTTGTTGTTTTTAGTTTCCCCGCACGGTGTATATAGATACACGAGCTTGTAGTACATAGCTTTGTTTGTTTAAAAGTAAAGCCAGTTTGAGCCATGTGCTGTGTCTCCCGCGGGAAGTCGAACGTCGTATTTTAGCATAGTAAATCCGTAGACTTACCGCTGTCTTATCGAGGGACATCACATAGCCACTGACACACTTCTTTATCATCTGATGTGAAGGATGATGCTCATCTGAGAACCGTTTGTCTTATTGTCTGGAAGCAGCTCAGTTATCCTGGTGACACACAGTAGGAACATGAAGCAGCTCAGGTATCCTGGTGATACACAGTAGGAACATGAAGCAGCTCAGGTATCCTGATGACACACAGTAGGAACATAAAGCAGCTCAGATATCATAGTGACACAGTAGGAACATGAAGTAGCTCATGGAATCCTGATGACACACAGTAGGAACATAAAGCAGCTCAGATATCATGGTGACACAGTAGGAACATGAAGTAGCTCAGGTATCCTGATGACACACAGTAGGAACATCAAGCAGCTCAGATATCATGGTGACACACAGTAGGAACATGTTTACTGTTCTTCAACTGAACGCTGTGTCATTATGTAGATTGTTTTGAAGTAATTGCATCACAAGGCCTTTGTGCTACCTTTTGTAGAGGTCTTTCATTTCAACCCTTTAGATCTTGAAAGACGCAATGACATGTTTATGCAACATTCTGAACATTTCACCTGGAACGAAGGTTTATGTAACAATACTTACTATGGTTGGAATTTTGATCTTCTGTGGCAGAGCTTGATATACAATAAAGAGGTACATTTGTGTCTATAACTATTGTTCTCGAAGAATGGTTTGGGTAATGTTTGGTTTAAAATGTTTCGTTTGTTTTTTGATATAACGGGATCTGATAAAGCAACAAATAACGCCGAAAGTTAGGGAAGCATTAAGAACCAGTAAGCTTATGTTTTGTGATAAATATCAGTTAAGATGTACATGATTTATCTTCACATTCCTCTTAATTTACAGTAACTTGTGGAGGACGAAAGATAGATCTGAAATGTTGTTTTTATATTCCTCTAACTTCGAATCCGAAATAAGCAAATTAAGAGGAATATCGAGAAAAAACACCATCTGCTGTTTACATGATTTTTAAAATAAATTGTCTGAGATAACCAACATTTCATTGATATAACAAATAATTATAGTGATATCACCATTAATGTTCTTATGTAACCACGAAATTATAACTATAAGAAATATCCGATCTAATCAAGAAATGTCTGTCACTAATTATTTGACATAACAAATAATTGTCTGAGATTACGAGGAAGCATTTGATAGAACCATACATTGTTTGGTATCACTATAAATTACTTGATAGAACCATACATTGTTTGGTATCACTATAAATTACTTGATAGAACCATACA